GGCTTCTTGCTTACCTTGTTGAATAGTGACCTGTGTATAGTATTTGAGGTTTTTAAAAAAGTGGACTCATTAAGGAAATGTATAGGAATTGCTATGAAATAGAATTACAGAGAGTAGTAGCATTTTCTTTTCTTTTTAAAATACTGACTGCAAAATAGCAACAGGCTTCTTAGAGGAGGAGGAGGTAATAATTTAGTTGTCCTGATAAGGCAGGGTATCGCTAGTGTTTATTCTTCCACCTGGAAAAACATGTCTGAAAGAGTCAAAGGTGAGTGGATGTACTTGGTTTGGGAATGCAATATCAAGGTTGTTGGGAACAGAGGCTGCAAAATACTTATGTTAGATGGAAAGCTCCTGATGTGCTATTATTAAGGAGGTGAAACGATTTTGTCAGCATTGCGAAGTCTCTTGACGTGGTTACTTGATGTGTGGCTGAGGGGTGAGGTGAGCTAGTTGGAACTTACATACTAGAAGGGCTGTGGTGCCATTCACAAAGATGAGGGTTGTACAAGTGGTCAGGTAGGGGTGGATAGACGTGATGGAAAGAGAGGACTCAGGTTGTAGATAGTATTAGAAATGATGAGGGGTACAGAGAGCTAATGCTTACATCTGTAATCCTAGCTCCCCAAAGGGAGACAGGGAGAATCATAGTTCTAAGCCAGTCTGCATAAAAAGCAAGACCTCATTTCATCCATCAAATTGATACTCTCACTTAAATTGAAGGCAAAAATAGCCTAAGGACTAGACAGGTTTGTTCTAGGCAAACCAATGCAAAAGACTTTTGCAAAAAGTTGGAGGCATTGTTCAAGTGGTAGAGCATCTTCCCAGAATATAGTAAAACAAAACAAAACAAAAAACTTGTTATTACTGAGCATATTTGTAAGTCTAGGTTAAATGGGTGTTGAGGTTTGCTGTGTATAATTCCTCGGGTGTGTTCTGTTTGTTATTTGAATTCTTTTTCAAGCCTACTTGGGTCATGTGATTTGAAAAAAGATTGTTGGTAAGATTTTCAGTTGACTTAAAGTTTGTGATGGCAGACAACTGTGTTCATTTGTTTTGACTTAACACAGAGTTGTCTTGTTGTTTCAGGAGAACATTTTATTGTTGGTTTCCCAGCAGTTTTCCTCCTCTTTAACGTAATTCTCCCTTGTGATCAGATGGCGCAAGGTTAAATTTCAAATGATATACTGGCTTTTTAGAAACGTTTTCTGAAATTCTCAGAATTTTCTTCCGATGACAACACACTGGCTAAGAGTCCAGCATATTGACTCAAAATTTATTAGATAGGACTTTGAGGACATTCTACCTATAAAAAACTTGTTACAGTTTAGTGCCACACAGAAAAAGTACTTCAGTAAAGACTACAATTTTTAATTTTCAGTATCATAGTGCCTTTGTAATTTTCCAATATTGGCAGTATTTTTACAAGATGTCATTCTTTTTAAAAAATTGTTATTGTTAATTATTGTTAATTATATTATTGTTAGTTATACTAATTTATTGTTCAAGTGATATACAGAGGGGTTTTAGTTACATAAGTCAGTAAAGAGTATGTTCATTTTGGACAATGTCACCCTTCCCCCCTCCCCCCCCCCACCCCACTTTCTTCCAGTTTTTACCTTTTGTCCCCATCCACAAGTTTTTTTAAAAATTTTATTTAGTGTAGAGATGCTGTACAGAAGGCTTAGAGGGGTTTCAGTTCCGTGAGTAAGGCAGTGAGTACAGTTCTTGCTGAGCCTTGTCACCCTTCCCTTGTTGTTTTCCCACTATCCCTTCCCTCTCCTCTCTCCTACCCCCTCATGCCCCTCCCCTCCCCCCCCCCCCCCCAAGTTGTAAAGTTCATTTTCAAAATACTGTCTTGTGGGTATCATTGTTGCAATGGGTCATCCTGTGTCCTTGTTTCAGTGTTTTGTTTTTTTCCTTCCTCTCCCCAAATTAGACAAATGTATATATAAGATACAGGGTACCAAAATCAAGTACAGTGACAATAGGGGATATACCATAGGGGGAAGACATACAAAGGAAACAAAAAAAAAATCACATAGTACATTTAAAACAACAACAACAAGGAAAGGCCTCTTGTGTCCATATCTTGGGGTTCATTTCACTTAGCATCATCTTATATGGTCATATGTACATAGCTTTTGAGCTTTTCTGCTCATCTGATAAAATTATCCTAGACGTATACAAATTATCGCAAGTGAGGGAAACCATGGGACCTATGTTTCTTTGCCACCCACAAGATTTATAGTTCATTTTCAGTGTAGTATCTAGTGAGAGCTACTGCTGCATTTTGTTCATCCTTTGTGAAGTGAATTATTCTTGATAGGTAAATTCTCTAAGGTAGTGGTTTGTCATATAAGAATTCTATAAACAGGTTGAAGGATATTTGCCTTGTTTTTTCATTTTAATTGTTATGGGAAGAAACGTTTAAATGTTAATTTAAGATTCTTTTTCCTGGCTGGGAAGTTGGCTCAGTGGTAGAGTGCTTGCCTTGCATGCATGAGGCCCTGGGTTCGATTCCTCAGCACCACATAAGCAGAAAAGCCGGAAGTGGCGCTGTGGCTCAAGTGGTAGAATGCTAGCCTGGAGCTGAAGAGCTGAGGAACAGTGCCCAGGCCCAGAGTTCAGGCCCTATGACCAGACCAAAAAAAAAAAAAAAGATTCTTTTTCCATTATAAATGCTCTGAGGACACAAGAGGTTTTCCTTTGTTAGTTTTTGTTTTTTTTTGGTGGAGCTTGAACCCTGGGCCTGGGTGCTATCCCTCAGCTCTTCAGTCCAAGACAAGTGCTCTCACACTTCAGCCACAACACCACTTCCAGTTTTCTGTTGGTTTATTGGAAATAAGAGTCTCATGGACTTTCCTGCCTGGGCTGGCTTTGTACTGTGATCCTCAGAGCTCAGCCTCCTTGAGGAGCTAGGATTACAGTGTGAGCTACCAGAGTCCAGCTGTTGTTGTTTTTCATGTACTATATGACTTTTTTTGTTTACTTTTTATATTCTTCCCTCTATGATATATCCCCTGTTGTCACTACTTGATTTTGGTACCCTGCATCTTGAATATACATTTGTCTAATTTGGGAAGGGGAAGGGAAATAACAAAACGCTGAAACAAGGACACAGGATGACCCATTGCAACAATGATACCCACAAGACACTATATTGGAAATGAACTTTACAGCTTTGGGCGGGGCAGGGAGGATGGAGGTAGAGGAGGGAAGGTATAATGGGAGAAAAAAATGCTCTGAGTTGGACACCATGTGTATGTGTGTTTCTAAGAGATTATTGGCTTTCTGAAGCTTTTGTCTGATTTCCTTTGGCACTTAATATATATTATACAGAAGAAGCAGCTAGCATTTTCAAAATTAGATTTGGAAAGAAAGTTGTAAGATTGAAGACATTAACAGTTATCATATGTACATAGCTTTTGACCTTTTTTGCTTATCTGGTAAGATTATCCTAGATGTATACTAGTTATTGCAAATAAGGGAAACCATGGGACCTGTGTTTCTTTGGGTCTGGTTTACTTAATATATTTTTTTCCAAGTTTTTCCATTTCCTAACAAATGAGGCAGTGTCATTCTTTCTGTGGAGGCATAGAATTGCATTTATATATATATATATATATAGAGAGAGAGAGAGACAGAGAGACAGAGAGAGACAGAGAGACAGAGACAGAGGGGGGGGAGACACACACACATATATGTAAACACATTTTCTTGATCTATTCATCTACTGAGGGGCAGCTGGGTTGGTTCCATAACTTAGCTATGGTGAATAATGCTGTGATAAACATAGTTAGTTGTGCTGGGAGCTTTAGTATGGCCTTGCTTGTGAGAGTTTGGATAAATGCCCCAAAGTGGGATTGCTGGGTCATAGGGGAGCTCTATGTGGAGTCTTTTGAGGAACCTCCATACTACTTTCCAAAGTGGTTGAACAAGTTTACACTCCCACCAACAATGCAGTAGGGTTCCCTTCTGTCCACATCCCCTCCAGCATCTGTTGTTGTTAGAGTTCTTGATTTTTGCCATTCTAACTGGAGTGAGGTGATATCTCAATGTTGTTTTGATTTGCATTTCTTTTATGGCTAGAGAGGTTGAACATTTCCTCATGTGTCTATTGGCCATTCTTATTTCCTCTTCTAAAACTATGTCATTTTTTTTTGTTGTTTCTTTTATATGTTCTTCCCCCATGATATAACCTCTGTTTTCACTGTATTTCATCCCTGTGCCCTGCATCTTGTATATCCATTTTTTCTAATTTGGGGAGGGGAAGGGAAATAACAAAATGCTGAAATATACAGGTTGACCCATTGAGATTACAAGACACTATGTTGAAAATGAACTTAACAACTTGTGGGGTGGGAGGGAAGAGTTGGGAAGAGGTAGGGAGGGAAGTGATGGTAGGAAAAACAAAGGACTGGTAACAATGCTGGATAGGAAATGTACTCATTACCTTACTCATGTAACTAACCCCTCTGTACAGTATTTTACAATAAAAGATACATTAAAAAAAGAAGAAAACAAGAAAAAGAACAGTTATCATGCTGTGCTCTGCTGCAGGTTATACTAGTTCTCTAGCAGTTGCTGAGTGAATTAAATAGTGGGGTAATCTGAGCAACATCTGTTCAGTGCAATTTGTAGCATTTCTACTTACTCTTTTGGATACAGTTTTGACTAGGCCAGCCTGGGCTATGATCCTCATGTTTACATTTCTTTGTAGTTGGAATAGCAAGTGCATGCCACCGCTGGTTGAGATGGAGTCTTTAACTATTTTTTGCCTAGGTTGGCCTCCGTCTGCAGTCTCTGCCTTCTGTAATAGCTAGGATTACAGGTATAACTACCACACCAAGCAAAACATAATAGTTCTTTAAAAATTGAACCTGTGAAATTGTAACATTTGAAGGGGGCAGGGGAAGAAATACATGAGGAAAAGATTTGTGCAGAGATGTAGAATGTTATTACTGCCTTTTGTACAATTAACATTGTTTCTCTTGTAGTCCAAGTGGAAAGAAGTTCAGAAGCAAACCTCAGTTGGCAAGATACCTGGGAAATACTGTTGACCTCAGCAGTTTTGACTTCAGAACTGGAAAGATGATGCCTAGTAAATTACAGAAGAACAAGCAAAGACTGCGGAATGATTCTCTCAATCAAAATAAGGTTGGTTAATTTATTTATGGAATATATATGCCATTTCACACTATCTCCAAAAGTATCTTACATTATAATTATACCATTGAAATTTTGGCTGTCCGAATTATCTTTTGCTTGCTGACAAGCTTTTCATCTTACAAATGTGATTTATTTTCTGTTATTTGGAAGTATAGACACACAAAAAAGCCTTAAGTAAATTCTGCATAGTAGAATATGACAATTCAGTGTCTCTCTTGGCCAACATGCATCACATTTTTTGACCTATTGGAATGATTTACAGAAGATTTCTTTGTTAGTATTACTTGTCTGAGTTTCCTTTTTTTCCCTTAAAATAGTTATTACTGCTTTAATTAAATTTAAATTAAATTTAATGTGGTAAATAGCCTTACCACATAGCTTATCATTAGCTTAAAAGTTTTCAGGTTTAGAATTTGAGAAAGGGCAGTTTTTTTTAATCTTGGTAATGTTTAGGGTGTTGAATCTCAGGATCACACTAAGACCATGATTAGAGATTTTCCTATTAGCTCTTAATTTTCCTGAGCAGCTTGGTTGCTAATTTATTGTGTAGCACTTTAAGCATGTCGCATTTGAATTATAATATTAGTTTAATTGTAATAAAGCATCCACTGTTGTCATATGACAAACTTCTTTTCCTTCAAGGGCAACTAAACATGGGTCACCACAAGCGACTCATTGACATACACAATCCTTGCGAGGTTGTCAAGTAGATGATTTCCCTCAGTATTGAGCCAGAAATGGAGGTTGAAGTCATCATTACCAATGCAGATGCCCAAGTCAGCTCTTTTAGAAATTTCATTATCAGTTGTTAATTTTTTAATTCCTATCGCTTTTAGAGATCTATATGTATGTATTTTTTGGCATTGATAACTGTCCCACACTACAAGTATGAAAAAAATAGCAGGAAATGGGATTTGACTAATCAGTCCTTTTGAGTACAGTATTCATTTTGGTACCCCAGAGCCTGTGGACCCCAGGGCTTTGAACCAGGTAGGCATGGTTTGGTGAACTGACTGCTACCTACTAGCTAATGTGGTCCTAGGCAAGTTCCTTCTTTTTTGTCTCAGGCTTTTCATTTGTAAAGTTAAGGTGCTAAAAAATTTCCCGTAGCATGATTATTTTTATATAATGGAATTTATATAACAATATAAAATATATGCCAAAGTATTGAACTGCATTAATTCCTTTTCCTATTTCCCCTTCCCTGAGCTATCATCTGCCTTAGCACTAAGTTACCTTGATTAGCTTGGTGTCCAGTGTAGGAAATTTTCTGACTCAAGCTATTTTCTTTGTGTTTTTTACTTTTCCTGAGGGGTAAGGTATGTCTATATCATACTTGGGAAAAAAAGTATTTAGAATTTGATTTAGTAGCTTGTTTCACAGTAGTTCATAGAAATTGGTCTGGAGTTCAGAGTGCAGTTTGCTCATGTCATAATATCTGTCATTGGTTTCCATAGGGACATTGGCAGGTAACTTGTTTAGGGAGGCAGCATGGGAAGGGAAGGCTAAATTGCCTTTATGTTGCTTAACTTTGGAGTTAGTTTGGTCTAATAGTTGTGAAAGTATTTAGAAAAATAAGAGCTAATAATGGAAGTAAAAGGAGCTCAAGTTGGGAAAACTAGGATTAGGTGTAAGGATATGTATAAGCTGTGATTGCAGTTTAAATAAACCTTTTTAGGGGGGGGAGGGGTAGTTAATATGCTCATAGGTGTGTCAGTACATCCCTGTCATTCCCAGCTACCTGGGAGGCAGAAGTAGGAGGAATGAGGTCTGAGGCAAAGTTAGCTTGAGACACTATCTGAAAAGCAAACTAGAAGTAAAAAGACTGAGAGTATGGCTCAAGTGGAAGAGCGCTTGCCTAGCAAGTACCAGGCCCTCAGTTCTAACTCATCTATGACCAAAAATCCCCACAAAAGCATGACATCTATCTGTCTCTCTCTATAACAATAGAAAACCAAGCTATATATCTCTTAAGATTTTTATCTATGTTTTCTTTATAAAACTAAACATAGTGCCGAGTATTTACAGAAAGATTCCATATATTCATGAAATGAAGAGAATGCATTGTTATCAGAAAGCAGAGTTTAGCTACCTGTAGTGTAATTTGAAGATTTACTTCCTAACAGTTATGGTTCATCATTAAAAGTCCAAACCTGATTCATCTCTAGTTTGTGTGCACCTTTCTGCTCTAGCTTCCCTGGACCACTCATCCCGCATCATGGCATGTGCTTTCAAGATTCTGCTTGCTTATGTGCTGTTTCCTCTGCTTGGAATGCGCTCCCCCTTCCCCTCCATCTGGCGATCTGCTCATCCAAGGCCCAGCTCCACTGTCTCCATTTCTGGGAAGCCTATCCTGCATTCTCCAGGCAGCAGCAGTCCTTCCATATTGCTTGCTATTGCTTTGCCATTGTGTCTGTGGCTGTCTGCTTCAGCTAGACTGTGAGCTCCATGAGGGCAGGGACCTGTCTTTTTTGTCTTTAGGTTACAGCTTTGTGTATGTGGTCTAAAACAAAGTTCACGGTAGGTACTTTAATAAACACTGCTAGATGTTTAACTATCCTCCTCTTCTAGACTTTTATAGTGGTGATAAATGTTTATTTAATAAATGAATATACCATACAGTATTTTGAAATGCCTTTCATTTTTATTACTTTCTGACTTCTTGGTGAAGATTTGGGGACCTGGTCTAATGTTCATACATTAGTCATCTGACTGTATTTCAGTTAAGTACTCACTTTGTGTTTTTAAAAATTAGCTCTCATGTGGGATGTTAGTGACTCATGCCTATAATTTTGGCTCCTCAGGAGGCTGAGATAGGAGGGTCACAGTTCAAAGCCAGTCCCGGACGAGAAAGCCTGTGAAGCTCTCATCTCCAGTTAACCACCAGAAAAACCAGAAGTGGTGCTGTGGCTATAGCTACTGGCACCTGGCTTTGAGTAACTTTTAAAAAAAGAATTAGAGATACAGAAAACAAAATAATGTTTGATGTAGGCTAAATTACCATTTTTTGGGATAATTATAAGTTGTCATCATAATGTAACTTTTATATCAAAGGTAAGTTTATTGATGGTGAATATTTCAACTGTGTTTAGAAAGATAGCTTTGTAGGGCTTTGGTTTTGATTAATGTACACTGTGATTTATTAATATTTATTTGTACTTGTCACAGACTCAGTCTTACCCTGACCCTAAACATCAGTTCTGTTCTTGATTACACTATACTTTATTGATTTCCTTGTGACTGACATAATTATTTCCCACCAACCACTTTTTGATAGACCTTAAAGCAAAGATGAAGCCACACAATTGAGTGGAGGTCTTACATTAGGATAGTGGACAAAGGCTACAGAAAGATTCGTAAGCTATCAGTCAAAATTGATACTTGAAGTTAGTGGTATTCTCAGAGCTTACTGCCAGAAAGATGTTACAGAACCACACATCTCATGGAATGCCAGTCATGATGGAAATCTCTGAGCCACACACACTCATGTGGCTGTTGGGTGCTTGATATGGCTAGTTTGACTGAAAACCTAAATGTTTATTTTTATTCAATTTAAATAGCCTCATATGCTTAGGGGCACCATATTTGACTGTGCAGTCCAAACAATAAAAGCTAAATTTTAGGCATTTAGATAGGCTTTGACTTTTCAAAGAAGAGGTATTCAGGTTCTAGAGAAATGACCCAACATTTCAAGAAGAAAAGAAAGAAGAGACATGGTAATAGTTTCTAAACAAATTTAATTGGAAACAATCTATAATTAGAAGAACACAGTGAGTCTGAAATATGAGCAAAATATGTTTAGAGAACCTTCAGGTAGCTTATCTTTTTAACTGTGGGTCTGGACGCTGTCCCTGAGCCCCTTTTGCTCTAGCACTCTACCACTTGAGCCACAGTGCCACTTCCTGCTTTTTCTGTGATTAGTTGGAGCTAAAGAGTCTCACAGACTTTTCTGCTTGGGCTTGTTTCAAACCATGATCCTTAGATCTTAGTCTCCCAAGTAGCTAGGATTATAAGCATGAGCCATTGGTACCCAGCTGCTTACCTTTTTTACTGTAATTTTTAATGTTTCATGTTGGAAAATAAGTGAATTCTTTGTGTTTCTGTCTCCTAACACCAAAATTATATAAATTAAACCTGCAAATCTAAAAAAATTCAAATTCCCTAACACTAGTATGACTCTTGACAGTTCTAGTACCATTGAATGACATAGTTTTGTCATCACGTTTATATATGCACATTGGATATATTTGGAAATAAAGAGTATCATTTGTTTGGGATCTGCTGTAAAGTCTGCTATTAATTTCTCATAAATTATCTTGGGTTAAGATGGATAATATATTATTGTGCCTATAAACACAGACTTAGATTCTATATGACTATATCCTAGGTTCTCAGCTATGCTTAGACGATGTCTGGTTTAATTATCTTCACAAAATATTTAAGTGATCAAGAGCGAGAGGGCTAGACTAGTATGCATAAAGTGGTGGTCTCTACTGCAAAATAAAAGCACACTCTTACAGCCTTTAGAATGAGAAAATTTTAGGCAAGGGACTATCTTCAAGGGACAGTCTCAGTAAGGCCAGCAATTGGAGATAATAGTTAAGAAATTACTGAGGTTATAGGAATGTCTGCTGATCAGTTATGAAAGCATATATTGTGTAAATATTGGAACTAGAATAGTAAGATGAAGAGATTCTTAAACTTGAGATCATTACGGTAACAGCTCATAGCTAGAATTAGAAAAATATAGAAATGATCAGTGTGCATCATATTTAGTAAATTTTCTTTAGGAGAGTTAACGATACATACTTGTGTGTACTAAACATTTTTAGCGGAAGTAAATGTAGAGGTTACTGAAGAGATTACTACAGGGATGAATAATGGATGACACAGGATATGGAGATAGGGACATTTAGTTAATCTGAGTAGACAAGGATAGAAGGTGGAATGGGATTAAGTTTGGTATAATTTTGGCTAGAATTATGTACAGAAATTTTTCTTAGAGCAACTTAGAGCCACAAATACTGGCTTTATTCTTGACCTTAGTCCAAGATAATGTGGTGTTTCTTACAATGAGATGATCTAAATTTTCGAATTCATAATTGAACTTATCTAGACATTAGCTCTTTTATTTTTTGGGGGGGGAGAGGTGCTGGTTTTGGGGCTTGAACTCGAGGGCCTAGGTACTGTCCCCCCCTTTTCTTTTTAGCTAACACTGTACCACTTGAGCCACCACCACTTCACTCCCAACTTTTTTTTTGGGGGGGAGGAGAGGTGGGATTGGAGTTTATTAGAAGAGTCTTTCCTGCCCAGGATAGCTTTGAACCTCAATCCGTAGATCTCTGCTTCCTGAGTAGCTAGATTTATAGGTGTGAACCACTGGTTTCTAGTTTAACTCTTTAAGAGCAATGTAGTATTATCTCTGGCCAGTGTACAGTTAGTTTGGTTAGTGTTAGTTTTATTTGTAGTTTGATTCGTTAAATTTTTTTCCATTCATGATAAATCTGTGGTTATGACTTTGCTAAAACCACCATTTATACTTTGGATTATTTTCCTACTAGGTACTTTTGTAGGGCTGTGTGATTCAGAGGAAGATACTGGCTATATTTATCTTTAAGTGTAATTTAACATTACATAGCAGTAAGTGGAACAAGTCTAGAGACTAATTGATATTGATGAGCTGGAGGTAGATAATACATATGACTCTCTACTTGGCTTAATTTTGACATGGATCGTATGGCTTACATTTAATTATATTTTTTATTTATCATCTGTAAGTGTAAGACAGGAGACAAGTATAGAGCTTGCACAACATAGGACCTAACATCATAGCATTTTATACACCTGCAGTAGTTGTAAAGTATGTTCTATGTGCTTAGGCATGATTTACTATTATTATTTTAAGGTTTTGATTCTGAGCTTGAACCCAGAGCCTGTTTGCTGTCCCTGAGCTTTCTTTTTCTTTTTCTTTTTTTGGTCAGGACTTGGGTTCTACCACTTTATCTGAAGCAGGTAGGCCGATTGATGAGAATAATTACTTTGGTATGATACTAGGTTTATCATAATATTGGGGCTTTATGTGTGCATACTGATAGAATCTTTTGGGAGGGCATGGACTTGGATATCATACAGTAGTAAAGGTAGATTTGGGACATTATTAGCTCATATTACGGCTTTGATAAGATTTAGTTTGAAGCTCAGGTTTCTGCTCATTGATATCTTTCTTTTACAAAATTTTACCAGTCCTGAGAAGTTTTCCTAACTTTGTAGGTTGTAGACCTGTGAGAGCATTAAATCCTACAATAAACTTTGGTATGACTATTTGAAACCTAGTTAAAAGTCACTTACAATCTATAGGGTCAATCCCTACTGTTGAGACTGTGCTGTGCAAAGGGGTGACATGGATCTTTCCAGCAAAGGAGTGATTTGAAATATTGGATTGATAAAATGAACACATCTCAATAATCGTTCTTCTCACAAAGTTTAGAAAATACTTTTTTTTTTTTGGCTGGTTTTCCAGATGATATTGTAACATAACTCAAAGGAGTTCAGAAATTTGAGTGACATGAAATGTCTTATTCTGCTTAATTACATAAACAAGGGTTTTAGTGTTACATCTATTAAAAAAGAATGCGAAACTCTTGTCTCATTGTAAGAGCATGAAGTTACTAATTTTTTTTCCCCCTACAAGCTGGTGCAGCTTGTTTACCTGTAATCTGAGCTACTTGGGAGGCTGAAGGAGGAGAACCATTGGAATCCAGGCCAGGCCAGTCTGGATATCATAGTAAGACTCAGTATCAAGGCAGGAAGGACACCTTTTCAATTACCCACATTTATATATCTTTCTATTTTCTATTTTATTTTAACAAGCATTAAAAGTTTTAGAACATTCTGGGTGGGTTATGTTATGTTTTTAAAAAGAAGTAGCTGAGTAAGAACCACAGCCCGCACGTGGTATTCAGGTAGGTTTATTCAGTAGACCTACTGGGACCAGGTCATGTTGGCACTCCACGCAGCTGGCAAAGAGGGACGTGTCTGGCCCTGGGTTAGGCCTTATATAGGGTAGGGGCGGGGGAAGGGTGTGTCCAGGTAAAGGGAAGTGGGACCAGGTGGGAGAAAGGTGTGGCCACATCAGATCCAGATGTGACCTCAGCGGATGCAGATGTGACCTCTTCCAGGTGTCCCAGTTGCCTAGGTAACACAGGCACTGGTCAGGGTCTGCTCGCCATCCAGAAATGGACCTTATAGTTTATATACCAGTAATTATAATAAACCAGGAAATATGAGAATACATAAAAAATTTTAAATTTAAAATAGGAAGTAAATGAAAATGGAATTCTTAACTACAGGAGAAGAAATAAATAAGATTTCAGCTACTCAGAATGCCCTCCAATGAAGGCATGTCTTCTGTTCTCTGATTTGGACATGTAAGAATTGGAGGGAAAGAAATATGAATAAGGAGAAATCTGGAGCTAGCTCCTTGCATGCTCAAGATCAACCACACCACATAGGAAAAGAAAAAAAAAAAAACTACTGAAGAGTTTTACCATATGTGTTAAGATTCTGTTAGATTTGGGCTGGGAAGGTGGCTCAGTGGTAGAGTGCTTGCCTTGCATGCATGAGGCCCTGGGTTTGATTCCTCAGCACCACATAGGCAGAAAAAAAAAAAAAGCCGGAAGTGGTACTATGGCTCAAGTGGTGGTGTGCTAGCCTTGAGCTGAAGAGCTGAGGGATAGTGCCCAGGCACAGAGTTTAGGCCCCACGACCGGACCCAAAAAAAAAAAAAAAAGATTCTGTTAGATTTAAAGTAATATAGCAATTTGTTATTAAGGTGTCACTATTTAAGATATTTAAGATATTTAAGTACATTCTTTTAACTTGAATAAAGTAGATGATCCTGATCTCTGTTTTAAAATGTAGATGTATTTTCAAAGTTCTCTTCCAAGGTAGGAATACAAAGGATCTTTGATAAGCACTTGTCTATGATATGTACTTTCCCTTACCTATAGGCCATTCTGTAACCAGGTTAGATAAGGTTAGAAAGGAGGCCACATAGTTTAGTCCTCAGAATCACTGGCACTGAGTTGGTCTTTAAATCTTATATTCTTTTTTTTTTTTTTTGGGTCTGGTCGTGGGGCCTGAACTCTGGGCCTGGGCACTGTCCCTCAGCTCTTCAGCTCAAGGCTAGTGCTCTACCACTTGAGCCACAGCGCCACTTCCGGCTTTTTTCTTTTTGTTTATGTGGTGCTGAGGAATCGAACCCAGGGCCTCATGCATGCAAGGCAAGCACTCTACCACTGAGCCATCTTCCCAGCCCTCAATCTTATAGTCTTTTTTTTTTTTTAGTTTTATTTTTTTTTTGTGAACATACTGTACAGAGGGGTTACAATTACATGGGCAGGATAATGCGTACATTTCTTATCAAGCATTGCAGCCTCCTTTGTTTACCCTTCACATCCCTTCCCAGCCTCCCCCTATGGAAGGTTAGGGAAGAATGAAGCATTTCAAATGCGCTTCCTATTTGTTGTGCTATTGACTTCCTTTTTACATTTTCTTGTAGATTTAATTCTGGGACTATTGTTTCCTCATTAATTGATGTGCATCCTTTCTGACCATAATAACTATATCATGTTTAAAAATCTACATTACAGTCTACTGTCACTCCTTTTCAAATGAAATTTGTTTTCTCCATGTCCTTGATTTTCTATTATTTTTTGGTGTGTGCTAGTCCTGGGGTGGGGGTCTGAGTTCTGACTTTCTGTTGTTGTTGTTGTTGTTGTTAGCATCCAACACCTAAGCCACTGCTTCACTTCCAACTTTTTTTCAGAAGTTTATTGGACATAAGAGTCTCACGGACTTTCTTGCCTGGCCTAGCATCAAACTGCAATCCTCAGATCTCACTCAGCCTCCTGAATAGCTAGGATTATAGGACTGAGCCACTAGTGCCCAGCTTAAAGTTAATTTTTACCTGCATATTTTCCCCTGTGAATATATAAAGAACCACCGCATGTATTGGAAAGAGAAGAAACACTTAAAAATAGTTTATTTTAAAATTCCTGTCCACAACTAAAGGGATATGTTATATGCTCCAACACTTCAACACTTTGGGACGGGTACACATATTAATCTGAAATTCATTTATTTATTTTTTATTTTATTTTTTGGGTCCGGTCCTGGGGCCTGAACTCTGGGCCTGGGCTGTCCCTCAGCTCTTCAGCTCAAGGCTAGCACTCTACCACTTGAGCCACAGTGTCACTTCTGGCTTTTTCTTTTTGTTTATGTGGTGCTGAGGAATCGAACCCAGGGCCTAATGCATGCAAGGCAAGCGCTCTACCACTGAGCCACCTTCCCAGCCCTTCATTTGTGTTTTGATTGGAGGGCCAGCCTGTTCAATGGGACTTGACAAAATTTTGAAACAATTCTAATGTTAACAATGCATTTGCCTGTTTATGTATAAAAAGTTGGGCTTCACTTTATATATTTGAAAGAGGAATTCAAATACAGGAACACCTATAATCCTGTCCAATGCAAGAGTGCTTGCTTTTAAACAACTAAGTTTATGGCAGATTGGTAATTTAGAAAAACTTAGCCAGGGGCCAGGCCTGCATTAACTGACTAGTTGGCAGTCGCCAGGGGAGAGTAGTAATACAATTTATTGGTTTTGTGACAGCTTCTGGGAAAACGTGTGAAAAACGTGTGAGTCTAACTTCTAAATTACTCAGCTTTAGATGATTTGGTTTTGGAATACAAAATTAATTAGTAAAAAAAATGAGTTGTTTAGTAAAAAAAAACTTGTCTCCAGTTAAAAAGAGAAAAGACAGTAAATTCCTGAACGGGATCAGGGTCTGGAGCAGCACACTCTTTGATTCCGGACCATTGGGGAACAAACCATCTCATCGACCATGGAAGTTACTGTGTATTTTGGATATTTTAGCCAGCCTCTCCCTGTTTGTTCTTTTTTTTTTTTTTATTGTAAAGCTACTATACAGAGGGTTACAGTTACATGAGTGAGGTTATGAGTACACTTCCTCTTGAACATTGTTACCCCCTCCATTGTTTTCCCCCTACCATCCCCTCCCTCCCTCCCTTCCCCGAGGTTCTTTTTTTTTTTTTTTTTTTTTGATTGTGATTAAATGATTACATAATTTCAAAGTCACAAGTTCATTCTAACTTCCCTGGAGCAAATTGTCTACCACAGTCTGTAATATATAACAGTGTTCACATGTTATATACCATATTTGTGATCAGCAGCATGAGGATATTTAGTAGTGGTTCAACCAGATGAGCGGGAGTTCTTTGTTTCTTAAGTCCTGTTAGTTTTGTCGTATCACCTAACCTTTTGGATTTAGCATCCACTTATGAGGGAGACCATGTACCGTTTGTCTCTTCGTTCTTGGCTTACCTCGCTCAACATGATTCCTTCTAGCTCCATCCATTTCCCTGCAAATGCCATTATTTTGTCATTTCTAATGGCTGCATAACCTGTTTGTTCTTTATTGCACCCAAATCATATTCCTATGCAAGGCATCAACATTAATCATATTTTAGTTTTTTTTTATTGTCAAAGTGATATACAGAGGGGTTACAGTCAAACTTGTTACCTCTTCCCTCATTTTCCCCCCGCTTTTCCTCCCCCCCTCCAAGTTGTACAGATGATTTCCAACATATTGTCTGGTGTCTATCGCTGTTTCATTGGTTTTTTTTTGTCTCACCATTCTGTTGTTCTCCTTTCTTTCCCTAATTAAAATAAATGTGTATACAATATCAGGGTACCAAAATCAAATACAGTGGCAACAGGGGATATAACAATAATAGTTTTACAAGTTCTACACTTCCAGTCTTTGGATTCGGGATTTGTAGTTTAGAACAGTCCCTTTTGCCTCTGGTTTTTCTTTGTAACACTGATAAGCTAATGACGGATGATGTTTGCTCATACAAACAGCTACAATATAATTGTGTGTCAGTAGATGTTCTAGTGCCAGTAGAGAATATTCTTCCTCATTACCAAACAAAAAAGGTTAAAAAAACCAAGCCAGATACTGCTTAGTGATGCATAATCACATGATTATACTTAGTGCCAGAAATGGTTTTCCATAGGCATTTATGTGTTAAGCCTGTGCAGGATTGAGTACTGATGACTTCCAGCCTGGGAATGCTGTCCAGGGTCATAATCAGACATTCCCAAACTTTTGCACCACAGAATTACCAGGGAAGCTTTTAAAAATGCTTGGAACTCATACTTTAGAGGTGACATTCTTAAGGGGTTATTTTGCAGTCAGTTAAATCTGCATATTTATGAGTTATTTTTTGTAAAACTTGCGGGACAATATTATTGAAGTCAATGAGATGACTATCTCAAAGGTAAGCACAAACTTTGGGAGAAAATTAAAATAATAGAATGATACAAATGGCTGGTGTACAGTATAGCAAAGGGGAAGGTTGTAGGAAGAGAGGAAAGGGTAAGGGTCCCACTAATAATGGATCAAAATAATATCGTAACAACTTACAGAATACCAATATTCCTTAAGCAGTGACCACAAACTATGCCAGTAGGTCCCAGATAGGTAATGCAAATGTGAGTTGTGAGGAGTATTGCCTAAGGGGACAGGGACACTTCTAGTGTCTAATCACTCGTGGATGGTGGTCATCAAACCAAGTCCAGTCCAGCACTTTTTCATCTTTAAGTGTTTTCAAGAAGCTGGAATTAGGGGTTTTGTACCATGACTCTAGATCTTTAGCTATTGGCTTACTTTGCTAGAAGCATTGAAAATTGAATCTATTGATGGCAGGTACTTCACCTGCCACCAGTTGGTAATCTTTGTTTTGAGTAATACTTCCCTAAGTGTGCTGCTTTACATCACAGCCCTGGAGACCTTAGTAATACAGATTTCTAGGGCCCACTCCGGGTTACTATTGAACCACACTCTCCTCTGGGATTGGGGCCTTCTTGTTGGTGTTTGAATGGTTTCCTGGATGGTCCTTTTTTTTTTAAGTAAGTTTTTTTATTGTGAAAATACTGTACAGAGGGGTTACAGTTACATGAGCAAGGTAATGAGTACATTTTTTTAAAATTTTATTTTATTTGAGAACATACTGTACAGAGGGGTTACAATTACATGGGCAGGATAATGCATACATTTCTTACCAAGTTCGTTTTCCAACATAATGTCTTGTACATCTCACTGTTGCAATGGGTCAACCTGTATCCCTGTTTAAACAATTTGTTTTTTTCCCTCCTCTCCCCAAATTATACCTACATCAAATACAGTGAAAACAGGGTTATACCGTGGGGGAGGGACATACAAAGCAGCAAAAATAAATAAATAAAATCACATGGTACCTAAATACGTTAGAAACAATAGCAAGAAAGAAAAATACCTCTCCTGGGTGATTCTGAGGTGAGCTTAGGTCGGGGAGTCTCTGGGAGTATGGAAGTTGATGTTAGTTTCAATCTGGAAGTAGTAAACACACAAGCTCATCAAATATTTCATAAATTAATCACCTACCCTGTCAACATGATCCAGGACATATTGTTTGCATTTTGCACTAAATGTATATATCCAAACAGTTGAAATTGGGTTTTCTCCCTATCCTTTTTGTTGAGTGTTGCAAATGAAGTGAATTACAATCTTATGCCACATTTTCTCCTCACTAGAATGCAGCATGTCACATGAAACTAGGTATGGAACTTTCTGCTCGTGTCATCGGTGCTCAAAACATTCTAAACTTTGAGCTTAAACATGTTAAACCTGTACTTCCTTATTTTATCACATTCTTCTAAATTGAGTTTTGTTTGCCAGAATTAGTAATTTCATTTTTATGTAAAAACGTTAATTTATAGGATTTTATATAAGCTTACTATCCTCACTCTGAAAAGTCCTTAGTATCTTGTTAATCAAATTCACTAAAAATTTTATAGACACTATTTGCTTAATTTAGGAGCATGCTAAAAACTTTGCACTTGTTATCAGACTCATGTATGTATATCTCATATCAAGTGTTTAAAGTGTGTGTGTGTGTGTGTGTGTGTGTGTGTGAGATTGTGGGATTTGAACGCAGGGCTTGGGTACTGCCCCTGAGTTCTTTTGTTCAAGGCTAGTGCTCTACCACTTTTAGCCCCAGCACTACTTTGGTTTTTCTGGTGGTTAATTGCAGATAAGAGTCCACTGACTTTTCTGCCTAAGTTGGCTTCGAACCGCAGTCTTCAGCTTTCAGCCTTCTAGGTAGCTAGGATTACAAGTGTGAGCCACCAGTGCCTGCCTAAAATGTATATTTAGAGTGTTTAAAATACTGATACAGAATGATAATTTTGGAGTAATTGAGCTCAAAATAATACATTTTGGACTAGGAAAGGAATTCCTATTATGTTTACATTAATGAAAACACTTATATTCACAGGGTAAACCAGACTTGAATACAACATTGCCAATTAGACAAACAGCATCAATATTCAAACAGCCTGTAACCAAAGTCACAAACCATCCTAGTAATAAAGTGAAATCAGACCCACAACGAATGAATGAACAGCCACGTCAGGTAAGGATCTAATTCATCCTCCAATTTTAATTTTCAGAAAATTCTAGTATTTTTAACAGACATAGTCAAATCAATTTTAATCAAAATGAAATGTTTGAAAAAAGTTTTATGTGCTGGCATATTGCATGAATGTCATGAATATAAAATTTAGGTGAAATGTGTTGATAAAAAAGTTAAAAATAAAAAGGGTCTAATATTATGGACTATGATTTTATGCTTTTTGTATGGTATACAACAGATGGTTCTCTTAGTTTTTTAAAGGTTATCTTGTCTACGGATGATATTCCCATTTGAAACAAGTAGTTTGTGTCGCTTTATAAAAATATTTTCTATTATTTAGATACTACTTTTTTCCTTCCTTTTTCTTTATTGGTTCTGATTTCTTACTTCATGAAATGTGTCCCTACCTCTTTTGTAAGTATATTAAACTTTGTCAATATGGTATGCCATCCTGTGAGTTCCTTTTTTTGCTTTTTAATAAACTCAGTGAATTTTTCTTCTCCTTTATTGGTTCATGCTCTATTCTACCAGACTCTTTTCTTAGAAAACATGTTATCTGAAAGCCTGCCCTGCTGTTAAATAGTGCCATAGAAATGGGTGGGAGACTTGATAAAGCGTTAAAACCTCCACAGAATGTTGTCTTGTTGACTCTGAAATTGTGGTAAGAAGTTGAGGTAGTTCATGAAATTTTAGTAATAATTAGGGTGAGCGAGTGAAGGGAAAAGCAGCTGTGGATTTTTTCGTCTCCTTTTTCTGTCTCCTTGCATGAGTAACACGCAGCAATCATCTTTTGCTCATGTATTCTCTTTCTAGGCACCTCACAACCCCTTTCATTTGAATTTTGATTTTCACTAGTCCTTCCTTCAAGTGTTTCTTCTCCAGATTTCATAAGGAATTGGGCTGAAACGTTCAGACAGTTGCTCTAGAAGAAAGTACATAAAGAAATACAGTTCACACATCCTCTCTAGTGTTTTTTCCTCTTCAGGTGAGCCAGGAAAACAGAAGATATTTGGAGCCACATTGGATCAGCATCTTGCTATAGATGTCTCAAGATTTGAAGTTCTAAACTTGCTTTACTGTTGGTCCCCAAGAGATTCAACAGGGGCCATGTAAGTGTATCACATCCAGTATAAAGATGCGTACTTGCATGTGCCCTTAGGCTCTTGTCAACAGTTAGGTTTCCTTTAGGCCATACAGCTTTCTGTGTGATGCTTTTCCCTTCTATTTTAGTACTACACCCAAAATTATCACCAAATTGCTGGTAGTTCTGGTGTATCCATTTCAACAAGTGAGGAAATCTATCATCTTGACCTCTACCCTCCTTGATAAAACTGTTTGCTAGTTGTGTTCTTTCTCATTTTCTTGCTAGAGTCTTGAACATCTTATCCTTTTGTTTTCTGGTGTTTGAAAATTGTTTTTCATCAAGTGTCTTAATAAGTAACATTTTTGAAAAGATGTACTTGAGTTAAAATAGTTTTCTTTAGAAGTCCCCAAAAGTAAAGGTAGAATATAATCTTTAGTAAAGCTGTTCTACGTTGGAAATTTGAGTTGTTTTCTGAGAACTGATGGTATTTAATAGATATTAGCCCCCTCTTTGCTAAGTCATACTCAATGTAGTCTCTAAACCCACAGGTTTGCTTAAAGAATAGTTAGTTATACATGCTTGTCTTCTTTTTTTTTTTTTGGCGGTCATGGGGCTTGAACTCTGGGCCTGGGCAGTGTCCCTCAGCTCGGGTTTATTGGAGATATAAGTCTCATGGACATTTGTGCCCGAGTTGGCTTTGAACTGCAATCCTCAGATCTCAGCCTCAGCTAGGATTACAGGCGTGAGTCACCGGTGCCCAGCTTACATGCTTGTTATTTTAACATTTTTGGGTACAAAAACATTGTTTTTTGTACCTAAATTCAGTCATAGATTTTTCAATGTACCATTACTAGAAGTGTTTATAAAGAAAGACAGGCAACTTCGAATTTTAAAGTTGAGATAACCAGATTGGTTGCTCCTTTGATATATTGAATACTTTTTTATTATCATGGTTTGTGCAATTATTTCAAAATTAAGTGTCATGAAAGATAAGTCCTTCTTCCCTCTTTACCATAAAATGTAATGTCATTTTAACTCATTTTCTTGAGGGTTTAATCTTTTTTTTTTTTTTATAGCTTGCATAGATAGGAAGTGTCAAAGTTATTTTTCATTTACTTTTCTAAAAGCGTGGGCCATTTTATACTTTATCCTTAAATAACTTGACAGTATTTTTTAGATACTTATGATTGTACTAAGGCATTAGTTTTCTTTCCTGCTTCATTATCTTCAATGTAAGAATTGAGGCACGAGTTTCTTAACCATATTAGGTAGATTGTTGGAAACTCATCACTTTAGATTTTTAAAATTAGATTGACAGTATAAATTGATGACTATTCCATTGCAGTTATTTTTCATGCAGTGAAATTTCTCTTTCTGAAGTTCCTTTAGCTAACATTTCTAAAAATACTAAGACAAGCTAATGGTATTATAATTCTTTTTAAAATGTTGAGTTTGAGCTCCAGAGGTAAGATTAACTTTTTTTAAACTTAAAAAAAACTAGATTCCACCTCTGAATAGTTGGAAGTAATTAATTTAGATGACAAGCAATTGTAAAAATTACTGTTTCTGTGCCTAGTTCATCATATGCCTAAGGTGTTTAATTATAATCAGGTGTTAATTCTGTAAAATTGATAGATAATAAATTTCTGATAAATGTTTTAGCTTAAAAAGTACATATTAGTATATGTAAAAGAAGTTGTGTTAAATAGAATTGAGTAGAGAATTCAGTATTTATTTCTGCCCAGAATTAAAGTTGTGAAGTAGAAAATGAATTTGTAAAACCTGGTTATGAGAAGATAAGTAGTCATAGTGATAGGGAATACCAGCATTTTTCTTTTTTTTCTTTTTAATAAGTTTTTTTATTGTGAAAATACCATACAGAGGGGTTACAATTACATGAGCAAAGTAATAAGTACATTTCTTATCAAGAGTTGTTGCCTCCTCCTTTGTTTTTCCCCTTCCATCCCTGCCCTCCCATCTCCACGACTGCACTCCTTCCCCAACCCCTCCCCACCAAAGTTGTAAAGTTTGTTTTTCAACATAGCATTTTGTACATCTCATTGTTGCAATAGGTCCACCTGTGTCCCTATTTAAACAATTTGTTTTTTTCCTCTTCCCTTCCCCAAATTATACCAGCATCAAATACAGTGAAAACAGGGGTTATAACATGGGGGAGGGACATACAAAGCAACAAAACAATCATCTTATAAATATGTTAGAAACAATAACAAGAAAGAAAACACCACTTGTGTCCTTATCATGGGGTTCATTTCGCCTAACTAGTCATACAATGGACAAGGGTCTCATATCTAAAATATACCTGGACCTCAAAAAATTAAATACCCCAATAACAAATCCTCAAAGAAACAACTGCCCAATAAATAAGTGGGCTAAAGACTTAAAGAGAAACTTCTCTGAAGAGGAAAGAAGGATGGCCAATAGACACATGAAGAAATGCTCAACCTCTCTAGCCATAAAAGAAATGCAAATCAAAACAACACTAAGATACCACCTCACCCCAGTTAGAATGGCTATAATCAAGAACTCTAATAACAACAGATGCTAGAGGGGATGTGGACAGAAGGGAACCCTACTGCATTGTTGGTGGGAGTGTAAACTTGTTCAACCACTTTGGAAAGTAGTATAGAGGTTCCTCAAAAGACTCCTCATAGAGCTCCCCTATGATCCAGCAATCCCACTTTTGGGCATTTACCCAAATGATCACAAACAAGACCATACTAAAACTACCAGCACAACTTTGTTTACTGCAGCATTATTTACCATAGCAACCCAAATGCCCCTCAGTAGATGAATGGATCAAGAAAATGTGGAATATATACACAATGGAATTCTATGCCTCCATCAGAAAGAATGACATTGCCCCATTTGTTAGGAAATGGAAAGACTTGGAAAAAATTATATTAAGTGAAGTAAACAGCCCAATAAAAACATAGGCCCCATGGTTTCCCTTATTTGCAATAACTAGTATATGTCTGAGTCAAGAAGAAATACCAGCATTTTTGATAGTGTCTTTTTATTAGATTGAAAAGAAACCTGAAGTGGAGGGAGCTCCACTAACTCTCAGACTGTTAGATTATTGTCATGTCCTTATTCAACAGGATGCATAAAATACATCCTAAGAATCTTGTTAGTTTTAATTGATTTGTTATGATTTCTTATTAAGAATATCTTTCCTACAATAAGTCTTTGAATAGATGGAAAACTCACCATCCTGGCTCTTACTTTCTTTGGTAACTCTCATCTTTGATTCTTCCCTTTTGTCTTCAAATCAAAGAAACTTCATCTTCTTTATATACTTTGTTTTAATTATTAAGTTACAGGATACTGATAAAGCCTTTCATTTTTTTACTTCACTTTGTGTTTTTATTAAGCACTTGTGCAAAGGGGTTATAATTTCCTAAATCAGATTATGAGTACAATGCTTCTTTGTCAATGTTACCCCTTCCGTCATTCTCCCCCATTTTCTACCTCTTGTCCCTACCCTTGAGTTACATAGTAAGTTCATTTTGTCCATAATGTTAATTGAATATAACTACTACATTTGCTACCCTTCCTCCTTCCATTCACATGCCCACTCCTTTGTCCTCCCCCTAAACATATTTTCACTTTTGGTATTCATTTTGATAAACAGTACATTAGTTGTTTAGAGGAATTATTCCTTTGGAGTCCTCCTCTAAGCATACAGTCCTTTAGTCAGTTGGTTTGTGTGTATGTATTATCATTCATGTTTATATTTAAGGCCTTACCTTTTAAAGTGATTGGTCGTCTATGACTGTTGCTTATATTTCTTACAAGATATAAAATACTCACTTTATGTTGTAGGAGTAATGTGAGCATTTTTTTGATCTGTTCTAATTTTTTTTTATAAAGAAACAAATGTCACTTAAAAACTTGT